GATAACAAGTTAGCCTGGGAGGAGTATCATAATTATAATTGGAGAGGTACTTGGACAGAGTGTACTGAAAAATTTGTAATTTACCTTGGAAGTTATACTTGCCACCCTTATTTTTTGTGAAAATGTTTGGCCATGTTTACTCAAACACGTTTGAATCTTGTGATGTTTCCTTCCTAAAGGAACTAATTCTGTAACTATTTTCTAACTTAGTCACAAGGTGTTTTACTTCACTGGCCCAAGTCATGGCTAAAATTTTCAAGTAGCACTGTTCTAAGCTAGTAGCTGCCTTTCCATTGGCATGATATTCTAGGTTCCTATATATAAAAAGAATAAATTATCTCGTTAGATTTATTGTAATCTGTTTTGTAAATAATAATTCCTATTTGTATAAACTATATATATTTCTTTGATGTGGGCTATCTTATTTGATGTCTAATATACCCATTTTAGAGAAAATTGAGCCACAGAGAAACTGTAATATTAAGACCCAGAAATGAACCTAAAGTGACTTCAAAGCCCAGAATCTTAACCATTGCAAATCATGTAGTATCTTGCTGTTTATAGTAGAGTTTGGGGTGAAAAAAAAAAGATAATAGCATTTCTGTTTAGGATTCAAAGATCAAGAATGGCTCTAGATAATCCTATTTAAACCCATATGACTCTAAGAGAATGATTTCAAACCTGTAGTAATCCCTGTAATCAAGTACTCCAAAAAGTACTCCAAACGATAGGCTTGTTTCTAGAGGGATCCTTAGCATAATATATGAGGTCCAATGTACTTATTGTTTTAATTTCTTAAGACTACCATCAAAATAAATTTTAAATTGTATTATTTCAAAAGTATAATTTAGTGAAGAGTATTATTATGTTTTATATTATAGACGTCTATAAACTTTTTTCTATTATGTAGTTTTACCTCCAGTATATTCTGATAGGATGGAAATCCACATATAAATTAAAAGGATTGTGGTAACTTGAAAAGATGTTAGAGATCTCCTAATCTAGTTATTTAAAAATTTTCTGCAGAGCCCTTAGTTTCTGTGGGGGTGACTCAGAACCCAAGTGAGGTGTGACTGGAAGGGGAAGGGCCACAGTTCCTGCCCTCTTTTATCAAAATAGCTTGTCTTTTCACTATATTTATATATTGGGATTCCATGTAAAATCTAATTCAAAACGAGAATCTCTCTCTAAACAGAAGTTTATAAGGTACTGGTCTAATGACCTTCTCTTTCCACATGATGAAACATAACTGGATTTAAATGATGGATTACACCCATTTCAACCAGCTTGGATTCAAATCTGGGAACTTTCTCATGTCTAGGAAATCATGGCTTTGTGAACACATCTAGATATGGGGTAGGATAAGAGTGTGAAAAAGACTTTAGTTTTGAAAGCTAACTTTCATCATTCATATTCAACTTGTTATTTAATTAATTACCCCCCAAAATTCCAATAATGGGTTTTGTGGGCAGATACTATATTTATTAGGTAAGGAAGACTGTATCAAAAGAATAACAAAGTGCGTGTAGTGGAAAACAGAGGTGTGTGGTCTGGTTTTCTAGTCTGAGGAAAAGTAGAAGGAAGGCTTATGGATAGAATGGGAAAGCTGAGACACTTGCTCATGAGTAAGAACATGTCACCCAGGTCCTGGCACTCCTTAATGGCACAAGTACCCTTGTAATCTGAAACTTCTTCCAGTTTTGTAGTTCAAGTCCCAGGAAATATTGCTTCTAGGCCAGGCCTTTTCTGGGTGGAGTTTTCCAGGGAACACAGCTTTCTCCACACAGGGGAATCATCACAGGTTCTCTGGAAATTGTCTCTGGTATTCTGACTTATTTTTTGGAGAGGCTTCTTATAGCTCAGTCTCCCAGTTTCTACTACCAGGTTTCCAACACAGTGGAAAGGCATAATGCTCAGAAATTCATTCTAGAAACACTCCGTTGATTTGACAGCAGAAAAAGAAAAACTATTCTTCCTTCTTTCAAAGATAGCCCAAGGGAATAAGATACACTCACAAATTCTACAAAAGGAATAGGATTTATAATCTATAAACTGAGAGGATATAATTGCTATCCCTATAGACTCAAGAAAGTTGTATTTTTTTAATAGATTCACGATGTCATATAAACAAAACTAGAATTTGACATTGGGGGTTTCCTGTCCCAATTTTTAAATGGGTTTGAAAGATATAGGTTTCTGCAGAGATTCTCCTAGAGCTCCTAAAGGTGAGAGAGGAGTATCATGTGGGAGTGGGGACACCGAGTTAGGAACCAGGGTCTCTGGGTTCCTGCCACTGCTGTAATCACAATCACTCTGCCTGTTGGTCTTCCATGTAAGAATCTGAGTGAAGAACCAGTTCAGCTGTTTAAATTCAAAACTGCTGATCTCATCTTAGCATCTTATTTTACACATGAGGAAATTGAGGGATAGAGAGATTAAGTGGCTTGCCCATGCTCACCTGGCAAGAGAGTGGCAAATCCGTTTTTGGTTTGGTCTGTCTACTAACCTCAATTACACCAGGTTGGTTCCCTGTATTTTGATGGCTACCTTAAGCATAATTTGCAAATGAGAGTTGGGGGATGGTCTATAAAATGGGCATTCAGCAAAATATTACTTAATAATCTACCCTGAATGTGATTATTTGTTAACAGCATACAGAACACCAGGATGATATTCTCTACTTAGCAGTTATTATGGTTGTTTAAAAGATTATGTTGCAAGAAAATTTTAAGGTGCTGTATAATTATACTTTGCAAAGGAAATTCTACTTGATAATATCCAATCCTTATTATCAGCTTTAAATAACTTATTCCATTGCCTTATGACAACCCTGGCCAAAGCCAGAGGAGATAACATGCTACATGTTTTCGGAAGTCAGGGAAAGCTATTCTCCACACTCTACCCCTAAGCAATTAATAAAAAGCCAACCCCACTTGCTCAGTGAGACACAGACTTCCACTGGAAAAATAAATCACTTGTTTAGGCTTATGTCTTTTTCATTTACATTGGAAAAAACATGTGACACTAATGACTATTCAAGCTTCTTAACTACCAGGACTCAGTGTGAATGAGTTTGTTGCATCCTGATTTAAGTGGAAGTATCCTAGGTATAAGGCATACGTAAAAGGAAATCCCAAAGAATAAGAAAGAGTAAAACTAAACTGCCATAAAAAAAATTTTGTAACATTTATCTTTCTCCATTTTGGGGAAAAGTCTTATTTTCCTTATTTTCTTACCATTATTTTCTTCGCTATGCAACTAATACATTTGAAAAACTAAATGGTTCCTCAAGTGGAAATAAATACTAATAAAATCATACAAGTGGTACTTCAGTTACAACAAAGCTGTGGAGGGAAAATCTGAGACCATAACAAAATATCATTTTTATTATTATGCTGACAATGTTCACAAAAATATTCTGTGTGTGCCTGTTTTTTGTCTGTAGCCTCCATTCCATGGGCATTTATGTTTTCCTTGGCCATGGGCATTTTGAAGTAGGGAATATTTGTTTGTAAGCTACAAAGCATGTACTGACTGTTCATCAATGTCAAGTCAACCCCATTTAAAAAAATGCACTTTCGGGGCCGGCCCCGTGGTGTAGTGGTTAAGTGCACCTGTTCTACTGCTGGCGGCCCAGGGTTCGGATCCCGGGTGCGCACTGATGCACTGCTTGTCAGGCCATGCTGTGACGGTGTCCTATGTAAAATGGAGGAAGATGGGCACAGATGTTAGCCCATGGCCAGTCTTTCTCAGCAAAAAGAGGAAGATTGGCATGGATGTTAGGTCAGGGCTGATCTTCCTCACAAAAAATAAGAAAAAAAGAAAGAAAAATGCAGTTGCAACCAAAATAGCTCAAATGAATGTGTTTTCAAATATTAGAATAAATTCTTATTAACTTTGTTACGATAAGATCCACTCATTCCACAAATCGTTTTCGTCCAACCTTTAGGAAATAACCACATATTATACAAAGATATAAAAAATAAGATTGACTTGGTGATATACATACCAGTACAAACTAGTTGATTTTAACAGAATTGGCATGAATCAATTGCTTGTGACAAAATGAACAATACTGAAGTTGAAAATGTAAAAAAAAAAATTTGAGAATACTAAGAAAGCAATGCCTAGCATTAAAACTAAGCATTCTCTACAATATATATTTTCTTCAAATTGTTTGCACCTATCCAAAAGTGAATTATTAACAATGAAATTGAAAGTGAAGCACACTTCTTTAAAATATTTCAGTTTTCAACACTATTTGTAAGAAACAATTCAGGCGTGAGCTTAGCGTTCACGAAAATGGGATTTTCTTTTAATAGTGAGTATAATTTTGGTGATATTAGAGAGTATTCTAGTATTAATTTTCTGACAGTGTATTTCCCAATTTACCCATGCTTTTTTGTTTTAACACATAGCTTACAAATGGTTAAGAAGAATTGATTGTTTCTGAGATTCATCAGATCACTTCCTGTAAAATCCACATCTTGCTGTTAATTTGTGAATGTGTATAGTAAAGAAAACGTCTGTCACCATTCTTGCCTGGTATTTAGATGGAGAAGACATCAGTCTCCCCACATTCAGTTTGCAAGGAGAGCTCCGGGGAGGGTGTGGATGGCTGTGTTGGTGGGAGAGCCAGAGGAGAGGGTGAGGATGCAGCCAAGTGTCCCAGGCTGAGGGAAGGTGGACGAGGGGGAGACCACAGTGAGAGTGTTCTCCATATATAAGATTCCACTATGTTAATCACGCAGAGGAAGAAAATTACAAAGAAGAGAATTTTGAAGATATGCTGTATGTGACAATATTTATTATTTCTACCACTGGTAGATAGTTAAAAGCAAGAAAGGGGAGGACCTGGAAAGTCAGTTTCTTAAAAAGAAAAGCATTTGTTTGTTTGTAGCTGGCAAAATGATCTGCTTCCATTGTGTGTTTTCTTTGTACTTTGATGTTTTTATACTGATATTTAAGCTTTTGTTTTGTGATCTCTTTCTAATGATAGAACCAGACCTCTTGGAAACTGCCTTAATCAGACCTGGGAGTTTGAAAGGAGCGGGTGCTGAACCTCGGTTTCCCCTGAACAAGAAAAATGGGCTGTGATAGAAACTGTGGGCTCATCGCAGGCGCTGTCATTGGTGCAGTCCTGGCCGTGTTTGGAGGTATTCTAATGCCAGTTGGGGACATGCTTATTGAGAAGAAAATTAAAAAGGTACAAACAGTCTAAAGGATATTTCTTGTCCTCCTGATTCCTTCTATCTTCTGTCCCTTTTTTGCTTTGGGAGCCTGTTTTATATTTCATGGTAACTGGCAATTGTGTGTCTTCCACATTAAGGTGATTATGAACACTGCAACTCTACATGATAGAGAAATGTTATAAGTAGAATGCATATTTAACATGAATGCATTGCTATCTTAAGTATAAACATCCAAATTCTGATAAAAGCTATTTATAGGTATGCAGGTTAGTAGAAATAGTGCTTTTAATTATGTCCAAAAAGTATGTTGATATGCTTTTGAATGAGAAATAAGTAAGTGTATTTTGTGAGGGTACATTTATAAAAGTAGTTGCACTTTGGTTAGTATTGAGAAAAGTAAAATCATATTTCATATATATGTAACAAACATGATTTAATATTGAAGCAGGAATCTTTGGTAAAACTGGTAAATTTTTTTTTTGTTTGGCAAACTACCACTCTTTAGGATACGCGTAATAATATACGATTGCCTTATAAATACTTTCCATTTATGAAGTTTTATATTTGACTCTTAGAAAATACTGTTAGAAATGTTATATAAGACATATCCCAGTATATTTGCAACAAGTTGACTATAGTTTTAACTAAAATTAGAGTGACTTGATAGACAGGTTTTGCACAACAAATTAGAATCATCTCCCATCCTAGTTCCTTCTAATCAGCTTCACCCTCACCAACTTTCACTGATAGAGAGAGGAAAGACTAGAATGGGAAGCACGTCTGCTGAAGTCCTAAATCAAGGGGTGGAAATTCCAATGGCTCCAGGAGTTTGAAGACCGGATTTAAAAAAAAAAAAAATAAGTGAAGCTCCCAAGAACAAGATAACACGAAGAACAGGAACTATTGTGAATTCGAGTGTGTGCCCTGCCCGAAGGCACATATGTTTATTTTTTTAAACATAACATTGGCCAAAAGAAACATATCGAAGTGCTGACCTCAACTCTCAGCCTGGCCAGAGGTCAATGGCCTAGACCGAGGGTTAATAAGCATAGGGCACAATGGAGAACAAGAATTGAATCATAAAATGGACTAGACCTACCTACCAATTCATACTGAAATTTCTGTTACTCCCAAGACCTTTATCTCTCTCATCCATTCATCTGTGTTTGATATTTTGCTCTTACTAGGAATATAAACAATTACCATTTTATTTCACTGAAGCATTGACTTAATTGACAAATTAACATGAAGAATTAATTTCAAATCTAGTTACTCATGACAAGAAGGTATTATTTTCTGATGTTCCTTTCTTTAGCTAAAAATGCTAAAGGTTTTAAAATTAAAAGAAATCATCTCACTGTACCATTATAGCTATTGTCTTACTATAAAAGATAGGACAATGGCACATTTTTAAGATAATAATTCCTATACCTGCATGCTACATTTGCTCAATAATATAGTCATTTCTATTTTTTCTATTGCTAATAGATTGAGATCTTCAACCCCATGCATTTCACTGAAAAAAATATTGTAAATTGAGTCATCCCTTGCCTTGGAATTCCCAGTTTTCTTGACATTAATTTTGATATAGTCCAATAGAGAGAGACAAGTGATGGTGAGGTAGGGTTTATCTAATAGTGTGAGATGGAATTGCCATTGCTCCAACACCCTGCTCTATCAACTGTGCTTCCTTTCTGGATCTTCTGTGGAGGGAGAACAGGATCAGTGTCTGTGCTACCACATGGACTATAACTTAGCTTTTATAAAAGTCTGCTGAATAGAAAAATCACAATAATCTCCCAGTGCACAGCATTTTAGATGAAGACTACTTTTTCTGATACATAATTGATGATCAGTAACTGATCATGTGTTTTTTTTCCTTCTTCATTCAGCAATATCAGTACATATAGACTCTGTTAGATGGCATGTGATGTGCTAGCATCTATTTTAATTGTTTAATATTTATCCCTCAGTTCATAGCAGTTAATCATGAGAAAATAAGAGTTCTGAGACATCAAAATTTGCTTTTGTATAGTGAATAAGAGACAGTGAAATACATTTTTATCTCAACAAGCATAAGATTTAACTGGGGAATAGCACATTGTAAAAAAAAAAAAAGAGAGAGAGAGAGCTGTGAGACTAGAATTGAATTCTAGAGTGTATAGTATGGAAAAATAAGTGCTACTTAGAAAGAGAAATCTCAGAGTATTCAATAACTTCAGGAAGAAGGTGGGATTTGAGTTGGATTTTGAAGAAGTATAGAATTTTCCAAGTCCAAAGAGGGCTATAATAAAGGTGTCAAAGGACTGATTAATGGTGTGGAAAAGATTGTGGAAATGCAACTAAATGCTGTGAAGAGGGCCGGAAGAATATAGAGATTGTGCCAAAATATGAGATTAACAAGAGAGATGATTGGAAAAGCAACATGGGCTCAGATTTAGGAAGCTTGAAAATCAGGCAGAATAGTTAATTGATGATGTGATAGGCAATAGTAGTTGGTGTATGTTTTTCACTAGGTATAAGACATAACAAAACCTGCATTTAGAGATCAATATTATCAAATGGCTAGCATTTATTTAGTGTTACTAAGATCTTCATACATATTAATTCATTTAATCTTCACAACTATCTATGAGAAAGTACTATTATTTTACTCATTAAAGTCATAAGACTTTATTTTTTTAAAGATTTTATTTATTTATTCCCCCCCCGCCCAAAGCCTCAGTAGATAGCTGTATGTCACAGCTGCACATCCTTCTAGTTGCTGTATGTGGGATGCGGCCATGCTGTGGCCGGAGAAGCGGTGCGTCGGTGTGCGCCCGGGATCCGAACCCCGGGCCGCCAGCAGCGGACCGCGCGCACCTAACCGCTAAGCCACGGGGCCGGCCCATAAAGTCACAAGACTTTAAATCAACTTACCAACTCACCTAGCCAAAAGGAGAAGGAGGAATCAGTTTCCAAACCTAGGCAATCTGAAGGCAGAGGCTAGATGATACAGTCTTATACACTATGCTTCTACAATAGAAAGGGTTGGAAAGTAAGGAGACCAAAAACAAGAAAACAAGGAAAAACTATGTAGGACATGACCACTTGCAAGGAGAATTTAAGACTCCCTTTTAGAAGGATCTTTGCACAGTCTGCACATTACATAACAAAGGGACTTCCATCTAGTGTGGTGGAGTACAAAGAAAGAACTGATGGGTGACGGGATGCAATGGCAGATTGGATAGAGGGACTAAATTAGGAGAGAGAGGAGTAAAAATAACAAACTGGAAGTCCAGTTGAGTTACCAATAGAAGTGTATACCTTAAGAGAATAAAATACAGAGGTTTTCTAAGTTTGATATGAACATCAGTATGTATTTCAAAAGTCAGAACTGAAATAGATTTGATCATTACTATAGAGACCACAGATAAAACTAAACAGTAGATTTGCTTTCTAGAGAGTTTGAATGTAGAGACAAAAGAGCAGAGAGATTACTGTGGGAGTTGTGCAGAATTCAGAGGTAGGAAGAAAAAAACAGAAAAGGGAAAGAAATAAAAACAAAAGAGTATAATTTTTTGCAAGTTAATAGAAGGCTAGCACTCAAGAAAAGAGAATAAATCGTTTTCATGTAGATGAAAATCAAGGAAATAATGGTTAGAACATGGTCACTAATGATTTTGAAAGTATAATTTCAGTAGGGTAGAGTAATAAAGGGGGGATGAAATAAAGAAATAGAGCATTTTCCCTTGTTTTTGAAATGAGGGTTATCTGTGCAATCTTTTACAAGATAAAAGGCAGTGGTATGGATCTAGACTTGAGAAGGAAGAGGTACAAATCTGAAATTTGAGGGAAGAATGAGTTCCAAAAAACTACTAAATGATGGTTTACACTGTCTCCTAGCAACATATCCATATCCATAGACTAAGACTTACCATCAGAATCCCTTCAATGGTCAGAGTCTGTGGTACATTTAAGACTAAGCCTGATTTTGCTCTCAGATTTCCATATAGCCGTGTTGACCTTGTCAATTTTAGTCATATAAAAATGCTATGACTTTTTCTTTGTTTCTATAAGACTGTTTCTTTTTTCTTTAGTTTACAAAACTATTTTTAAGATAAGATTGGTATATGTATCTGTTTGGCATTTTATAGTAGGCGTATCTCTGAATTACATGTGAACCCAGGGAACCAAGGTTCCTACCCCTGCCTCAGGGGCACTGAAGTTCATGTTGGTATTATACAAATACGGATACGTTTTAGTGCTGTGCAGTTTTTGTTTGAAACCATTGAAACTCATTGAAGATTCTTTTCTTCATTTAATTGACTTATAGCAAATTGGGAAAGTTATTACCTGTATACAAGCACCATTTAAAAAAAAAGAAAGTGCTTAATTGAAAAAGATCAGAAAATCATCTCATATTGTTATCTCATTTATCAAGTATAGAGGTGGAACTCTATGATACCTACCAATTCTAAAAGATGGCACTCTGACACCAGTATTTGAAATGGTCTAAAGTAGTCCAGAAATTTTACTTCTAATATATATATATATTTTTACTCTTTATTTACAAGGGATGATTTTCAGAGACTTCATGCTTTTTATGGATTATAGCTGAAAACTTTCCTACCAGTATTTTTACAACGATTCCTAATAGATTTGTGTGGAGCCAGCAGGTTTATGCAATCTTACTAGGGAGACTAAAAGTCAATGGCATGAGCTGCCTTGAATGTGAAATGTAGAGACTACCAAAGGACTTTGGAAAAAGGTCATGGTTCTGCCATCGTTTACAAAAGATAATTAATCTCTTGACATTGTTAATATCACTTGGTAAATGTTTAGTGAATATTGTATAACATAGGTAATTTTTAAAAATTTTTAATTTAATTTCACTATGATATTAACTATAGAACACCAAGAAGAGAAATAAAGGTTTCTTTTTTTTCCTATTAAAAGGCTAATGTTCAATTATACCATCATTCAGTTATACCATCATTTCCTTTCCCCATTCTTGAAAAGAATGATCCTTTAG